TGACCACTGTTCTCTCTCAGGAACACAGGACTCCAGTAATGGGAGGACTTTTTTCATTCTCCTAAGTTCCCTCTGACTGACACCACAATTTATAAGTTTTAAAGTTCTTACTAAGGATACTAGCCAGCAGGATTTGGACATTGTCTGTAATTCCTGCAAGCTGGTGGAAAAGAGGGGCTGCGTGGGAACTGGCCTGGACACTTCATGCTGGTGTGACTACAAGGAAGGAATTTACAAACCATACTGGGAAGATCATTCTAAGTTTCCCAAGAAAGCGTTTCCACTTCATGATCAATTTGCTTAGTTCTGTTTTACTATATTAACTTAAAAAATTGAGAGCCGGTCATCTAAAGTTCAAATCACACAGCTAGACTTAGTGTAGGTATCAGCTCTGGTGCCTTGAGTTGTTTCACAGGGGTTAATAAATGAAACAATGTACCTGCTGTGTATCAGTTTGTCTGAGATTGAAACATTCTACCCTAGAGGGAAGCTCCTTAAGCCAGAGGGTAAACTAACTCCGAAAAGTTTCAGGAAGTTCCTGAAACTGACCAGATTCACTAGGTCCCTTGGTCCCTCCCTCCTTCTCAGAATAAATAATAAAGACAGCAGAAAGTCACTCTCAGACAAGCCAAGCTGCAAAGAAGACCTGAGATCAGACTAGCTGCTTGGAGGAAGCTTAGAGCAACTGAGGCACCTGGAAAAAACACTCTCCAATATGTTGAACTTCCTGAAGGTTATGCAGAATGTTCCAGGTTCCCAAATTTTTGTGCTGGGGTGGGCTATGTTGATTCAGCTGTCACTGAGTCATTTCTGTTCCTGTAAGTAACATCAATAAAACTTGCTGGTTCACCAAGTTGGACTTCAGTGGTATCTATACTTTGGTCTGTTGTGGGCTCCCTATCTGGGGGAGTGGATTTATGTTTTGTGTCTCCCCAGGAAGTCTTGTCACAGAGTAGCATCTAATATGATCTGGGACAAGAGTTAGCAATTAGGTTGGGTAGAAAGGGAAGATGTGATGTGATGTCAAGTGGTTTTTTGGCCTGGTATCTATAATAGTTAATTAGAGAAAAACTAAAAACAATTTAAATATCCAGCAACATAAAATGGGACTAGAAAAACAGGGGCCTATCCACACAACACAGCAGTTCTCAAACTATGGGTTACGACCCTTGGGGGTCAACTGACCCTTTCAGAGGGGTTGCCTAAGACCATTGGAAAACAGATATTTACATTACAATTCATAATAGTAGCAAAATTACAGTTATGAAGTCACAATGAAGTAATTTTATGGTCAGGGTCACCAACCATGGTGAGGAACTATATTAAAGGGTCAAAGCATTAGGAAGATTGAGAACCACTGATGTACCAGGTCACTCTATCGCTATTTTAAAAATCAATGTTGCTGGAGAGATAGCTCAGGGGTTAAGAGCACTTAAGTTCTTCTGGAGGTCCTGAGTTCAATTCCCAGCAACCACATGGTGGCTCACAACCATCTGTAATGGGATCTGGTGCTCTCTCTGGCCTACAGGCAGAACACTGTATATAATAAATAAATAAATCCTAAAGAAAATTACTGTTGATTCCCAACATCTACATGACAGCTTACAATCACGTGTAACTCCAGTTCCAAAGGATCCAATGCCCTCTTCTTTAGTGGACACTGCATGCAACTGGTGTCTATTTTAAAGACGACATGCACAGGCAAAGCACCCACACACATAAAAATAAAATTCAACAGTCTATATCGGAGAGCAGGTAGCTCAGTGTATGAAGATGCTGGTCACCAAATCCAACAGCCTGTGATCTATCCTCAGGACCTAAATGGTAGGAGAGGACTGATTCTTCTTGCAGGTTGTCCTCTGACCTCCACGTGTGCTATGGCACATGTGTGCCCACTCTAGTACACACATGCATATTCACGCGCACATATACATACAAATAGAATTTAAAATAAATATGTATGTGAGAAAATACAAACTGGTACTACATTGTTGACATATGTGGTGTATGCTTGTAACCTCAGCACTCAGGACACTGAGGCAGAAGGTTCAAGAATCTGAGGCCAGCCTGGTAAGACATGGCAAGCTAGAGGTCAGGCTGGCTACAAATTAAGACTATCTCGATCCCTTTGAAAACAGCCCAACAAACTACACTGTTAAAAAAAAAAAAAAGATAATAACAAAAAATAAGCAAGTTTAAAATCATTACATTCAGTTGAACCTCACTTTGAGTCTAAGAAAAAAGGCAAATATCTATAATATATGTGTATGACATATATGTGCACAGACACATAACTCTAAGAAGGTGACATGTGGAAGGCTAGAGAGATGGCTCAGTGGACTAGAGTTCAGTTCTTAGGACTCGAATAGACAGCTCACAACTCCTGTAACTCTTAGCTCCAGGGCTCTGACACCCACTTCTGCTTCTGCGTTCACACACACACACACACACACACACACACACACACACACACACACACTTAAAATAAATCCTTTTAAAATGCTATCATAGGTGAGTTAATATCAACCTTTTGACCCAACTTTTAAAAAAGATTTACTTATTTCATGGATATGAGGCTCTATCTGCATGTATGGCTTTATGTCAGAAGAGGGCATCAGATTCTACTAGAGATGGTTGTTAGCCACAGGTGGTTATGGGGAACAGAACTCAGGACTCCATAAAGAGCAGATGGTGCTCTTAACCACTGAGCCATCTTTCTAGCTCCTTGACTTAAACATTTTTTAAATTATTTTATTTTTATGTGGTGTTTTGCCTGCAACTACATCTGTGTAAGGTGCCAGATTTCCTGGAACTGGAGTTAGACAGTTGTGAACTACCATGTGGGTGCTGGGAATTGAACCCGGGTCCTCTGGAAGAGCAGCCAATGTTTTAACCACTGAGCCATCTCTCAAGCCCGACTTAAATTTTGTATAATTTAATTTTACTTAATCAACATATTGCATCTTTAACAAAAACCAAATCCAAGATTTTTTATTATTATTATTTTTACTTATTTATTTGCTGTGTGTGTGTGTGCGCGCATGTTATGGCATGCGCATGAAGATCAGAGGACGACTTTCAGGAGTTGGTTGTCTGTCTACCATCGGGAGCAGCGAATCAAACTCGGGTCACCAGGCTTGGGAGTAAGCACCTTCACCTGCTGAGCTGGCTCACTGGCTTTACCTAAATTATTATTTATTTATTTATTTATTTATTTATTTATTTATTTATTTATTTATTTGGTTTTTTCGAGACAGGGTTTCTTCTGTGTAGCTTTGCGCCTTTCCTGGAACTCACTTGGAAGCCCAGGCTGGCCTCGAACTCACAGAGATCCACCTGCCTCTGCCTCCCAAGTGCTGGGATTAAAGGCATGCGCTACCACCGCCCGGCCTAAATTATTTTTAATTCTGTGAAAACAACGTTCAGTTTTGAATATGTATCAAAAGTAGAGGCAACAAAGGAAGAGAAGTCTCTGAAAGACAACAAGCTAGGGTTTCTTCCAAACTGTGGGATGTTCCTGACAGCTACAGGTCTAAAGAAATGTGCATGTTGTCAAGTCACACATACAAGACACACCTTCACAGAAGCAGGGGAGCGACGGCAGCTAACCCAGAATGGCCAGAGTACTCCGCACAGCTACACAGCACATTCTAAACCACTGGGTGGGAATAAGCTGTGAGGTGTGACAACACATGGGACTCACCTGGATGGTCACATTCATGGATTCTGGCACAGGTTTGGGTACACTCAGGAGGCCTAGTCCCACAGGGAACTGGTGGGTAGATCACAGAGGCGCCACAGTGGCAGGTTAATTCATCAAAACCTGAGGGAATGGATGAAACGAGACAAGCTTTCCTGAGTTTGGGATATACATGGATGTAATAATTTGTCGTTGAGTAGCCTCCCGCCGAGTTCTGGGGTTGAACGAGGGGTTTTGAACTCACACACATGCTATCCTCTTGCCTCTGCCCTGCTCTTCCCCATACTGTCACTATAGGAACGTACTACCATGTTTGGCTAGGAATAACCGAAAAGTCTCAACATGGTTAAAATAGTAAGGCTTAGGTTAAAAAATTTTTATCAATCTAAGCAGACCAATTGCTCAAACTATGCCAAGAAACTTTGTTTTGTTTTTGAGGCAGGGTTTCTCTATGTAGCTCTGGCTACATGTAGTCCTAGAACTCACTATGTGGACCAGGCTAGCTTCAAACTGACAGAGATCTGCCGGCCTCTGCCTCCAAGTGCTGAATACAAAGACATGCGCCACCACACCCAGCTCCAGAAACTAACTATACAGCGAGTACTCACTGGCTTGCCAGCAGGTCTGACAGTTCCCTCGGTGACAAGGCTCTTCACACCGATGAAGGCCACAACGGAGTTTCCTCCCACAAATCAAAGGACACTTGTGCTCCTTGTCCTAAGAGGAGAAGTTTCTATTAGTGCACGATTTCCTCCATTTTACAAACAAAATAAAGACAAAGATGTCCACATTTATGAATTAAAGGACCGTGGGAAGGGCTTCAAAACCATCAAGGGGGGTGGGAAGATAGGAAAGACACAAGATTAGTCATGAGGAAGACACTTACTGTAGCTGAATATTGCGTAGGTGAGCTTCCTGTACTGTTTGAATTTTCTGATAACCAGAGAAAGGCTTTAGGTCTCCAAACACTGGTTTACCAACCTTGGTGTAACACGTGATACCATCACTGTTCACTTTGTCAAGACAGAGCTTTTCATACACGTGTGTTATGCACACAGGTGTGGGAAATGTTAGAGGCCAGAGGCAGCCTCAGGTGTCATTCCCACAACACTCTCATCTCTGAGATAAGGTCCCTCCTGAAGCTGGAGTTCATCAATCGGCTAGAGCAGCTCGCCGCAACTCCAGGGCTTCTCCCGCCTATTCCCCAGCACTGGTGTCAAGCGCAGATCACCATGCCCAGTGCTGGACAAGCATACCCACTTCTCTTCCACAGACGCTAAGTAATTAGGAAGACAGTGGAGAATGTGGGTAGGACAGCCAGTCCTGGCTTTCTCCTAAGAGCTGCGCTCTCCACCCTTTGTCTAGGAGAGGTGGGTCGGCAGAGTCTTGCTTCCTCATACTCAGCCTTCCTGGTCCTCCAGCCTGCCCAGCATTTTTAGTGTGTGCAAGGGTTCAAACACAAGTCCTCACTGTAAGGGAAGGGGCCAGTGAAAGAAACCCACCCTGGCCCTGAAACCAGAGCTAATGAAGGAAACCCACCCTAGATCTGAGACCTGAGCCTGTGAAAGAAACACTTTAGCCCTGAACCCAGAACCCAAGAAACATACTTTGGCCCTAAAACCAGAGCCAGTGAAAGAAATACACCCAGGCCCTAAAATTAGAGCCAAAAAGCTAAAAAGGGCAGTGAAAGAAACACAGAGCCAACTCTGCCCCTGATCAATGAAACCAACCAATCCCTGAGGAGGAAAACTAACCAATCCCTGAGCAGAAAGTCTTCTCCCTGGAGAAACTCCACCCCTACCAAGCCCGATATAAGCTCCCCAGCCTGTTGAACTATGGGTTGTCCTTTCCCACTCTGGCAGAGGCAGCCACTCTCCTGGACTCCTCCTTCCCAAATAAATCTCTTTCTTAAAAGTCTTGGGTGAAGATCTCCATTCGCCAGTGCTGAACAAAAGACCCTTGCTGAGACTTTCCCTTAGGGGTACTGGGGGAGGGGGGGCGGGATAAAAACCTTGCTGAGACATTCCCTTAGGGGCTGAGCAAGGCTGAGCAAAGTAACAACTTTTCATGGAGCTGTAGGAGATTGCTACATTTCTGCAAAGGTAAACCCTTTAGCAGAGTGAAGCAGAAGAAACATCTTGGGCCAGAGAGAAGCAGAGCCCTGCTGGGAAGTCTTAAGGGGGTGCAGAGCAAAGCTCAGCTGTAATGGCTCTCTCCAGGAGAGGAGCAGGATTGCTACATCCTTTGGGAAGCCCATGCCCCACTGGATAGCTTCAGGTATAGCCCGACTTCCCAACAAGTCAGGATACCTCTCCCTCCAGAGCTCTAACACTCATACTCATGCCTGTGAGGCAAGTACTTTACTAATTTAACGATATCCACTGCTGTAAAATATAATTTTTTTTCAAAATATAAATTTTTAAAGATTGTTGTACCAGGTGTCATGGTACATGCTTTTAATACCAGCACTTGGGTGGCAGAAGCAGAGGTAGGCAGATCTGTGAATTAAAGGCCAGCCTGGTATACTCATCTATATAGTAAGTTCCAGGCTAGCTAGGGTTACATAGTGAGACCATTAAAAAAAAAAAAAAGAACACTAAAGTTTGTATGCATCTATACATAGACATGAATATATAAATATATATACAAATATATATTTACACTACCTTGTTATTGTTATTATTCTGCCTTGTTTGTATGTGTATATATATATATACATATATATATATAACCATGTACATATACATACATGTTGCCTTATTTATATTATATGTATCATACAGCATCTCATTACATATATATGTATACACATATAGATAACACAATACCAATGTCAGGTAGTGGTCCAACATTAATTCTACAGAAACAATTGTTTTAAATAAATGAAACTTGTGCCTTTAAAAAGTGCCATAGTCAGCCAGGCATGGTGTCTTTGCACTAGTAATCTCAGCACTAGGAAGACAGAGGCAGGAGAATCCACCCTAAGTTCTAGGCCAGTCTGTTCTACAAGGCAAGTTCTAGGCCAGCCTATTCTACAAGGCAAGTTCTAGGCTAGTCTGGTCTTCTACAAGGCAAGTTCTAGGCCAGCCTGTTCTACAAGGCAAGTTCAAGTTAGTCTGGTCTTCTACAAGGCAAGTTCTAGGCTAGTCTGGGCAATAAACGGAGAACCTGTATTAAAACCAACAACCCCAGCATACTCATTCTGGCCTCTGATATGGCTCAATGACCACTTGAAACCCAAAGCTCAGATTGCTAAGTCATGCTAGTCTGTGCTGGGACAGCAGAGTCATCCCAAAGGACCACTCTACAGTTGTCTTGGGAGCTGGCTTTGCAGAGGTCCATGCTTGGTCCTTGGCTTCCATGTCAGGCGGCTTACACCTGCCTGTAATTCAGTTCCAGAGGGGCCTGACACCTCTACCTTCTGCAGGCACCTGCATTCATGTGTACTTACGCCATACTGACCAACACAGACTCACACCCACAAAACTAAAAAAAAGAAAAAGAAAATCTCAGAAAGAAATAAATAAAGCTTCTTAGCACTGGGGTCGGAGGCCTTCTCCATGTCCTCTTCTCCTCTGTGCCAGTGGATGCTACTAAAAGCCTTAGGCTGGGTCTGCTGAGTGCACGTGGGGCCTAGGAGAGGTCTGACTGCTGTTTAGTGGCCCCTCCTGTTGGTTGCTAAATCTGGGTCACATTCCAGAGGGCCGAGGATTCCAGAGGAATGGAATCAGATTACACCAACAACTGCTAAGTCCACTTACCACACAGCATATCTCGTTACATTTATGCCGTCCACACAATCGTTTCTTGTTACACCGCTTGTCACACATAAATGTAGCATCTGTTACAGCCAATTAAAGAAAAAAATAAACATACAAAGATGTGAACATCCATTCAATATATCTGAGTGATGACAGGCTGAAGAAACACAACTGTAATAATGTATATAAATTACTGATGAAAATGCTTTAAAAATACTATTTTTACTTGTCAAAAAAACCCCCCAAAAACCAAAAAAACCCAAAGCTGATTAATACATGATATGGGTAAGGATGCAGAGAAAAGGTGTAATCATTCTTCGTAGATGGAGTACATACGTATCTAACAAAAATTCAAATGAGCTCTAGAGATTCACTCGGTGGTAAGGTGCCTATGGAGCCTGTTGAAGGTCCAAATGATCCCTAGCATCACACACAAAAAAGAAAAGATGGAGGGTAATTCCATGTTTTCTATATACTTTCGAAAGTAACTAGAGAATTAGGTTAGCTCAGTGTTACAGCACTTTTGTAGAATGTGTGAGGCCCTGAGTTCAAGCCCCACCAAAAAAAAAAAAAAAAAAAAAAAAAAAAAAAAAAAAAAAAAAAAAAAAAAAAAAAGCCAGTTTGTGGTGGCACACGCCTTTAATCCCAGCACTTGGGAGGCAGAGGCAGGTGATATCTCTGTGAGTTCGAGGCCAGCCTGGGCTACAGAGTGAGATCCAGGACAGGCACCAAAACTACACAGAAAAACCCTGTCTCGAAAACCAAAAACAACAACAACAAAACAAGGCCAGGACACCAAGGCATACACAAAAGGCAGAAAACATAAATTGGACTCAACAAGACAAAACACTTTTGTGCATGAAATTGAAGGACACCATAAAGAGAAGAAATGGCAACACCCCACAAAACAGAGACCTATTTTCAAATTACACACCTCACAGCATCTAAGATCCAGATACATATTACAAATTGACAGCAGAAGGACCAAGAACCCAAATGACTAGGAGAGATCTTTCCCCCAAGAAGACACACAAATGGCCATAAGAACATAAGGTGTATAACATCACTAGCCATTAAGAAAAAGAAAATCAGGCCGGGCGGTGGTGGCGCACGCCTTTAATCCCAGCACTCGGGAGGCAGAGGCAGGCGGATCTCTGTGAGTTCGAGGCCAGCCTGGACTACCAAGTGAATCCCAGGAAAGGCGCAAAGCTACATAGAGAAACCCTGTCTCGAAAGACCAAAAAAAAAAAAAAAAAAAAAAAAAAAAAAAAAGAAAAAAGAAACCCCCCCATTTTACATTATGACAGCTATAATTTTTTTTTTTTTTTTTTTTTTTTTGGTCACTGTGTAGCCCTGGTTGGGCTAGAACTTCATAAACCAAGTGTGGTGGTGCACATCTGTAATCCCAGTACCCAGAAGGTATAGGCAGCACAAGTCTAAGGCTAGCCTGGGCTACAGAGTGAGACCCTGTCTCAAAATAAATAAAATCCAAAAGTTTAAGTTATTTAGGGGCTGAAGAGATGGCTCAATGGTTAAGATCACTGACTGCCTTTCTAGAGGACCTGGGTTCAATTCCCAGACCCCACATGGCAGCTCACAACTGTCTGTAACTCCAGTTCCAGAGGATCTGATACCCTAACACAGACATGCAGGCAAAAATACCAATGCACACAAAATAAAATAAACAAATTATTATGGGGCTGGAGAGATGGCTCAGAGGTTAGGAGCACTGATCGCTCTTCCAGAGATTCTGAGTTCTCCTAGCAACCATATGGAGTCTCACAACCATCTATAATGAGATCTGATGCCCTCTTCTGGCATGCAGGCAATGTGCAGATGGAACACTATACATAATAAATAAAATAAATCTTAAAAAAAAAGTTATTTAAACAAAAACTTGTTTGAAAACTGTGCACACAGCTTGATGTGGTGATACACACCCCTTTTTAAAATTTTTTTTTATTTAAAGATTTATTTATTTATTATGTACACAGAAGAGGGCGCCAGATCTCATTACAGATGGTTGTGAGCCACCATGTGGATGCTGGGAATTGAACTCAGGACCTCTGGAAGAGCAGCCAGTGCTCTTAACCGTTGAGCCATCTCTCCAGCCCCCAGTGGTGCACACCTTTAATCCCAGCACTCTGAAGGCAGAAACAGGGTGATCCCTGAGTTTGAGGCCAGCCTGGTCTACAGAGCAAGTTCCAGAACAGCCAGCATTACACAGAAAAGCCCTGTCTTTAAAAAAAAAAAAAAAAAAAATCAGGACGGTAGAGATGGTTCAGTGGTTAGGAGCACAGTCTGCTCTTCCAGAGGACCTGGATTCAGTTCTCAGTACCCTCATGGCAGCTCACAGCTGTCTAGAGCTCGAGCTCTAGGGGATTTGACACCCTCACACAGACATACATGCAGGCAAAACACCAGTGTACAGAAAATAAAAATAAAAAAAAATCTGGGCATAATGGTGCATGCCTATAATGCCAGCATTCAGGAGGTCACTCAACTATACAGTGAATTAGAGACCAGCCTGAGCATGAAAACCCCGTCTAAAAATAAAAAAACAAACTAATGCATAAGTTTTATAATGGCATTCATTATTCCCATAGCCAAAAAGTCGAAATCACCTAAATAGATATCAGCTAATGCATGGATAAATAAAAA